AGACATCTCTATTATGTACTCTTGCTGTAAACACACCTCACAACGTACGTCACCTGAGCGATCACCAGCACACACCTAAATTACAGTCATTCCACTATACTCGCCCGTACACTCGCACGCGCTAACAGTAGCTATATATAACACCTGTAATATCATCACGCTGATTAACCAATAGTTAGCATCGCCTTACTGGACTAATGATCTAACTTACATCCCCGTGCTCGTCCAGGATTCGCAATTTACGTAGACCACCAGGGGGCATGTGAAGTAACAACCACTCCTGAACCTTGTACCTGCCCTCGGTACGTCCGCAAGGTGTGTGGCACGGATGGAAATACCTACCTCAATCCCTGCCTGCTGGAGTGTGCTAGTAAAGAAGAAGGCAAGCCAAACTATAGTAGCTATACTGTTAGGATACAGAGGGGCTATCACACAAGCATCCACTAATCAACCACGCCTATTCCTCTACCTTTACACGTACAAATTAACTACCGAAAACCCACAAAGAACACTCGGAACTATAGCCAATTCGCCTTTCTCATAGACTGAATTACAGTCAACCTCCCCACCCACCCACAGAAGTGATCTCCAGTCCATCTACCCCCTATCACATGCCATGTGTTACAATCAACCAGTCACCTGTAGCTGGCCAGTTACCCAGTAACCACACCTGTGTTACAATCAACCAGTCCACACCTGTAGTGCAATTAACCAGTTAACCACACCTGTGTTACAATCAACCAGTCCACACCTGTAGTGCAATTTACCAGTTAACCACACCTGTGTTACAGATCAACGCATTCTACACGCTTAGCAATCAACGCAGTTAATCGCACACATTGTTACAGATCAACCAGTCCACACCTGTACAATAACGCAGATTAACCACTAACATGTGTTACAATCAACCAGTCCACACCTGTAGTGCAATTAACCAGTTAACCACACCTGTGTTACAATCAACCAGTCCACACCTGTAGGTGGCAATAACCAAGCTTAACCACACCTGGTTTAGGGCAATGCAAGCGCAGTCCACACCTGTAGTGCAGTTTACCAGTCAACCACACCTGTAGTGCAGTTTACCAGTCAATCTCATCTGTGTTACAATCAACCAGTCGTCCACACCTGTGCTAGAATCAGCCAGTCATCAAGACATGTGTTACAATTAACACATCACCTCACCACGTCACCTGAGCAATGACCAGTACACTGACCTCTGAGACATCTAAATTACAGTCATTCCACTATACTCCCCTGTACACTCACATGCGCTAACAGTGGCTATAACATCACGCTGATTAACTATTAGTTAACAGCAGCTTAACGCACTAACTATCTAACTTACATCACCGCCTTCGTCTAGGATTCCCAATCTACGTAGACCACCAAGGAGCATGTCAGGTAACAACCACTCCCGAACCCTGTGCCTGCCCGCGCTACGTCCGCAAGGTGTGTGGGACGAATGGAAAAACTTACCTCAACCAATGCCTGCTGGAATGTGCTGCTAGTGAAGAAGGCAAGCCTAACTATAGTAGTTAAACTTTAGAGAGAGATGTGGTTATTAATCGCATGCACACACTAACAAAGCTAGAGCTATTTAAATACTCGTGCACATACGCGTAACATACCGCCCGTACACCGTCAACCTACCACGCATACGTGTATCTATAGTCAACCCACCCCGCCTTCCTAGAAACCGATATTACAGTCCGCCCACTATCTAACACACCCAGCAATTTACCCACCTACACAGCTGAACTGCCGTTTAACGACATCCTACCACGCATCATGCGCTACAATCAACCAGTCCATCCATACCTGTGCTACAACTAATTCCTCACCTCGTCACGTCCCCTGAGCAATGGCCAATTCACTGGCCTGCCTCTCAGACACCTGAACTACAGCCAATCCGCTTTGCTCTCCCGCACACTCACGCGCTACAAGCAGCCATGATATTTCGTTGACTAACTATAACTTAACTTCGCTTTAGTGCACTAACTATCTAACTTACATTCCCGCGTTCGTCCAGGATTCGCAATCTACGTAGACTACCAGGGGGCATGTCAGGTAACAACCACACCTGAGCCATGTGCCTGCCCTCGGTACGTCCGCAAGGTGTGTGGCACGGATGGAAACACCTACCTCAATCCCTGCCTGCTGGAATGCGCTGCAAAGGACCAAGGCAAGCAAAGCCATAATAGCTACATAGAGGATATATCCTGTTATCCATTTGACTAAATATTATAGCTATTTCGATACTCACAAAAAAACACGTGAATCAGTGTTAACGTATCACAAAACGTACACTATACAGTCGGTCAATTCACCAGCGTCAACCATACCTGAACGACAGTCAAGCTGCTGCCCTTTCACACGCCAATATGGGGCTACAGTTACAGCTATAACACTACTATGACTATGTTTGTTCGCACCAACTCTTTATCATTCTCACGTTTATTCATGCACCAACATCTACGTAGATCATCAGAAAGAATGTCAGGACGCAACTACTCAAGAACCATGTAATTGTTCACGTTATATCAGCAGGGTGTATAGCACGGATGGAAACACGTACCAGAAGCCCTGCGAGCTGGCGTGTGCTGCTAAGGAACAAAATGATTGTTCTCATAACAGCTACATTTTGGGCAGCGATTTATGACTCCGATTTCTTATACAGTAAACCAGCCTATGACCACCCCACTGCGTTTCCTACATATTTACCTATACCTGACTACAGCGAACCCAACGACTACCTGACGATATAGCCAACCGATCGCTTACCTGAGTACAATCAACCAAATATACTTGGTTACAGCCAATCCACCATCTACCTGACTATAGTCAATCCACCTCCTACTTGATTACAGCAACTCCACCTCCTACCTGACTATAGTCCATCCACCTGCTACTGGACTATAGAGTCAATCCAATGATTAACTTGTACAGTAATAGCAATATACTTGATTATATCCAACCCGTCACCTACCTGACTACAGCCAATCAAACACCTACCTTACTACAGTGAACCATAATACCTACCTGAAACCAGCAAGACCCATCAGTTAACACTTTCAGATACTTAAAACATAGCCAACCCACCAGCTTCTTATACATACGTGTTACAATCACCCCACCACTTTTACAGCACTTGCGGTACAGCCAACTATAATTACTTTTACTAACTATATATTCTGCGGTTCATCATTCAGGTATTACCATCCACGTAGACTATCAGGGAGAATGTCATGACACGACTACTCCTATCCCCTGTACCTGTCCTCGTTATCTCAGCAAGGTCTGTGGTACTGATGGAATCACGTACCAAAACCCCTGCTTGCTGGAGTGTGCTTCTAGGGAACAAGGTAAGGAAAGCAATCAAGTAACGAAAACCAGCAAATAACCAATAAAGTAACCGTAGCGTTGCAGAAATCACCCCTCTGGCCTACACACTTACAGAATGGCAATCAACCAATGAGTGGCCGGATATTAAATTAATATAATCCTCCACACTTAAATCATATCTCATCAGTATGCTCTTCCAAAAAAAAACAAATAAATAAAATTTTTACAAATTATTGTCACACTAAATCATGTCTCATCCGTATGATCTTCGAAATTAAAATATAGAAAAAAACTAAAGGAAATGTTTACAAATTATTGTTGTAACAATCGTATAACTTCTGTGTTCAACGTTCAGGCATCGCTATCGGTGTGAACCACCAGGGCGAATGTCAGGATACGACCACTCCCGAACCCTGCGTGTGCACTCACCATGTCGACAAGGTGTGCGGCACAGACGGTAACACATACCTGAACCCGTGTCTGCTCGAGTGCGCTGCAAGGAAAAATTACGGTGAGTCCGTCATCCTTCATCCGTCCAGTGCTGACGTAGTCGTCACTTTGCCCGGTTGCACGGTTGCATGGATTTATTTCGAAATCATTGCCCAGAAACGCCCAATCTAAAGGAAATTTAGCGCTATATAGTCTCACCTCATAGCGAATATAATTATTACTGATTCCACCAACTTGTATGCCGTATGTATATTAATTATAAGCCACGCAGTGACGTTGTCAATAATAGAGATGTGATCGCTCTGTCGTTGAAAAATAGCTACGCATCTCTGCTCCATAGAATTCAACAGCTTGCACCATTTGCTCGCGCGTGAGAATTTTAGACATCAAAGTATTCTCCCGCTTGTCGAATAGTCATATACCTGGCACATGCTTATTTATGGCAATACGGAACCTGGGGAGATTGCCACAGTCGTTCAATGCTAACATGGCGTTGAACTGCATACACCGAAGCCCTGAAAACCCGACCTAGTAAAATCACACTGCTTTAGTGCTGACTGCTCGCCCAGACATTTCGCTCAGTGCGTCTAAGATGCTCCTTTTATGTCGAAGACGTTCACGTACGTATACACGCGCGTCTATCTCACTCCTACCGTAGATAACTTCGTGCTGGTGGCGGCGTACAGCGGCGAGTGCGGGCAGCAGATAACGACAACGACGGAGGCTCCGTGTTTCTGTCCGCGCTACATAAGAAAGGTGTGCGGCTCTGACGCCTCCACGTACCAGAACGAGTGTGAGCTCGCGTGCGCCGCTAGAACATATCCAGGTGAGATATGCGTAAGTCATATATATATATATATATATATGTAGAAAAATCGAATAAGGTGTTAAATTTTAATCAGCAAGATTTCGATAGTATCTCTCTTCATCAGGCTATAAAAGACAACACACGCACGCACGCACGCACGCACGCACGCACGCACCGCACCTGCACGCACGCGTGCACGCAGCAATGTCACAAATGCATTTTCCACGCTGCGGATAAAACAGCTCATAAAACAATATAGGAAAAGTTTGGAGGCCGACGAAATGCTAGTAATTAAATTACATGTAAAACGAAAACGGGTTGCTTGACAATATTTGCAATCCCGTACGGGGCGCCATGCAGGACAGGGCTCAATTTTGTCTAACAAAACTCAATTCTGTCT